TATCCCAGGGGAGGCTGAGATGAGAGGCAACGAGTCAATCCCCATGCATGCTGAGCAGTGACCGATTTCAGAGCTATGTAGGTGCTTGCTGGCCCCCCGCTAAGCTCAGTGTGGCACTGCAGGCCGGCCTACAGCTCCTCTCTTGCACAGGAACACGGCGTGTGGTCGGGGGGAGAGCTGGTGTCACTGGTGGTCAACAGAGGATGAGCTGCAGAGGCTCTTTCCCAACTCAGGCCCCAGCTGTTCAAAGCCCACACCATGGTGTCTCCTCCCAAGCCAACCCTGCACATTGGAAAAGGAGGTGGCTGGGAGCTGCTGGGCCACTGGTGTGGCCAGTCCTCCTCAGCAGGGCAGCTCCAGTCGTGCCGGGATGTCTTGCTGCAGGATAGGAGCTGCCTCCCTACAGAGCAGCCTGTGAACTGCTGTTCATGGTTCCTAAGGRGGTTCTCTGGCCATATCTTACTCTATAAGCCAGCAGTGCCCCCTGAAGCCAGGGGAAGGTGGTGGCAGCATAGGTGGAGTGTCCTTGGCAGCCRGATAGCTCCTAGCAGGCAAAGGGGAAGGGTGTCCCAGCAAGGCAGGACGCCTGTGGCGTTAGGATGGTTGTCTCCCTTCCCCTGTAGGGCATAAACTGACTTAAAGGTAAACATGGAGATTTCTCATTATCTGCATAGATTTGCAGCTTTGTAAATCTGTTGTATGTTAACCACTCTAGCCATAGCCCAGCTCTTCCGGGGCAGAGCCTAGGTAGGTGAGTGCTTCTCTCTTGGACYGTGAATGTCAGTAGTCTCCCTAGTGTGGGGGGATTAGGTGGTGCAGCTGCTTGTGGCGCCTCTGCCTCGTGGATCGGCCGGCATTGCCACAGCAGCGAGGCAGAGCCCAGGGAAGTGGCCTCACCAGACACACCATGTGTCCCAGGCTGCTCATCCCCACCCCGGGCCTCCCGGTGCTGTCTGCCAGAGCCACAAGGCAGGGGATAAAGCTCCCAGCTGAAAGGTTCAGCTGGCTGCTGGCAGAGCTGCTGCAGCTCTGTGCTGCAGTGCCTGGCTCTGGCCGTGGCCTCACCGTTGTATGGTGGAAGTTCTTCCTTGTTCCCTTCCTTTCTGTGCATTTCCACRTTGCATTGGCATCTCACTCAGGAGCTGAGTCAGGGTTAGAGCTGCAGCAGCTTTGGCAAAGGGGTTTCTGGGGCTTGCAGGGAGCATCATCACAGCTGCCCTTGGGGCAGAGCAGCCAGGGTCACCCCTTGGGTGCCCTGGTGGTGACGGGTGCCCCCGAGGAAGCTCTGCCCACTGMCATCAGCGTGCAGTGGTACTGCTGTTCCTGCTGGGCTCTGGCCAGGCAGCTGCTMCCCGCTGTGGCCAGGTTGCTTGTTCATCCCCTCCCGTCAGCTCCAACCGTGTTTTTAAGCAAGGACCCGTGGTGTAAAGGAAAGCTGTCCATGCTCAGCTAGTTCYGTCGGGAAGCCGCAGGCTGCCGGCTCGCTGCGAGGGGAGGCAGCGCAGCCRCCTCTGCTCCCGTACCGCAGCCCGCAGGCAGCGCCGCGCGCCCTGGCCCCGTCCCCGCCGCAGCCCTGGCAGAAGCAGCACTGCTCCATTTTGTAAACTACCGCCACAGGACAGAGGGGTTGTCTCCAATCTCGCATTCGTTCAATCTGCCTGACTGTACCCTCGCACACTGTCCAAACCATGTTGCCTGGTGGTGCCCAGCATACTTAAATAAAGTTGTTCATATACAAACATACCGTCGTAGCCTCCCCTGCCCCTGTGCTTGTGTGAATGAGGCAGTGTGGCTGGATTGTGCCTGGGGCCGGGTCTGCACTGTGCTGAGGGTGTCCCTCGCAGGCCCTGGCTGTGCTGCACAGGGACAAGGGATTTACTTCCATCCCAGAGGCAGGTGACCCACCCCCTGCTGGGATGCCAGAGGTCAAGCTCCTGCTCCCCTGATAGTAATAGGAGGAGGAGGAGGAGCTGCACCCTACTACTTACCTGGAGAGAGCTGCACACTCATGTTGGGCTCAGGAGCACATCAAGGCCAACCCACAGTAGGTCACACTCTRGGGCCAAGTTCCTGCCCTATGTGGCCAAGGGAAGAACAGCTGCCCTAGCAGGATGTGAGCCCTGGGAGGGCTGGAGAGGGAGCTGCAACATCAAAGGGGACCCTGGCACTACAGAAAAGATCATCTTTAATTTATGGAATGAATTAGTCTCAAACCTTCWTGTTAAAAGTCACACAAATGACTTAACCATAACGGGCTACAGCAGCCTTGCAGCAGGAACCACAACAGCTTCACTGCGTCTTGGTCCAAGGCAGAAGGCAGCCGGATCCTGAGGCAAGAGGGCAAGTTTGTTGGCTACAGGACCTGGTAGAGAACCTGGGGAGGTGGCTGARCAGAGAGGTTGGTGTCTGGGGCCTTGAAGGACTGCCCTGGCCTCCCTCCCCACAGGAGGGCACAGGGTAGGCAGCTGCCAGCCCAGCCTGCTCTGGCARAGCTCTGACCTGCTTTTGCCCAGACAGGTTGAGGCAGCTTGGGGCTCGGAGCCCAGTTCAAGCCCACCACCTTTCCCAGCCCACTGACAATTCTGTGAGGCCGCTTAAGAGGAAGCCTCAGCACAAAAACAGCCACAGGACTCTGGCTGTGCAGGATGCTGTCCTGGGAACAAGAAATGCCTCAGTGCAAGTTTGGTCCAAGTAGTACAGCATGAGCTGGGAGCAGTTGTACCAGCTCCAGGGAAAAGCCTTCAGGGCTCTCATCCCTGCTCCTCCCACTGTCCCAAAATTACCCCCTGGTCACCTGCTTCTTCTGGAGCCTCCTAGTGCACTCCCTGACACTGCAGGGCTGGAGCAAGGAAGGACTCGCAGGGCAGTGCCCTCCTGCTGAGCYGCTGGGGCTCCATCACACACTGCAGCCTGGTGCCTCCCACCCTGGGACAGACAGCTCTGCTCCCAGGGAGCCAGGAATGGAACCAGGCAGGGAGAAGACCCTCCTACAGGCACAGCCCCCTGCCCTGCTGCTCACATGCCAAAGGGCCTCAGCCTTCCCCTGCTCCTGGCAGGGGTAAACACTGGCACTGCAACACTSTGCAGCTGAATCGTAAACATGGGGCTCTCAGCCACTGCTCCCTGTGCCCCAGCTGCAGTCCTGGAGCCAGAGAACAGGACCCTGTGCCACAGGCTCACTCATCCCTAGATCATTTTGACCTCTGGAGCTCGGCCTTGAGTCAGGCTTTGGCGTTGAGCCTTCACCATCTGCAGCCGCTTCCCATGCAGGCTGAACTGAGACCAGCTGAGGAGCTGCAGCAACGCGCACGTGATGGGCACGAAGACGAGGAGGTAAAAACAGCCCTGGCGAAGGGTCGGCTCCCAGGCAGCGTCCGACGCCAGCTTCGGCCGGGCRCTCACCACGTTGCTCAAGGGGTCACGCTGGAAGATGTCATAGCCTGGTGCCAGGGAAGAGTGTGTGAGAGCAGGGACAGTGGGACCCTTGTCCCTTTGGAGATGCAGAGACCAGTCACACTTGGTAACTGAGGGCGCTCTGTGACCCTCCCCCTTATTGCCCCCTCAGACAAAAAGCACAGTGGAGGACACCAAGCTCACAGGGCTTGGCAAGAGGCAGAGCAACTAAAACCAATCCAAACAGCATGGATTCAACTCCTAGACTTCCAAACCCAGGGACATGCTGGCCTTGTCCTCAGCTAAGAAATGACAAAGGCCAGCACAGGGCCACACACCAGTGAAGCATCAAGTCACCTACAAGCTGGACCAACCTCACATGAGCCAAGTGAGCCAGGCTGCTGCTGTTGGGCTGCAGCACCGGCACATCCTGCAAGTGACCTCAGTGAGGGGCCCTGTCCCCACACCCCAGCCCCACTGCCCCCCTGTGCTCCTACCCGTGTATGCGCAGAGTAGCCAGGTGCCAATCAGAGGGGCGAAGGTCTGGCCCGGTTTGGTGACCAGAGCGACCATCCCAAAGAGCAGCGCGGAGGCCGCCTGCTTCCGGCGGTTCAGCACCAGGTCCTCGTCCACCAAGTCGGTCACCACCAGGTTCAGCAATTTACACGTCCCTTCTGTGAACACTCGGTTGCTGCAGGACAACAGGCAAAGCACTGAACAGGGGTACCAAGAAGTGACAGGCGTAGGTGAAGGATCAGAGAAAAAGAGGAGGAAAACAGAAAGATTCCCCAGCATCTTAAATGGATTTCAGCAGCCCTTGCTACCCAACAGAAACAACACTGTGCACAAACTACACGTGTCCTGCAGTGATGCCCTGCATTAGTGCCAATCTGCAGCACAGACAACCCTGGGGACAGGAGGACACCCACAGCATCTCCCCAGCATCTTGGCTCCTGCCCGTGAGATGCAGGCAAGATACATGCACACCCAGCAGGACACAGCTCCACTAGGAAGAGTCCCCAGGCAGCTTCTGGCCAACAGGTGCTCCAGCAGCCAGGCAAGTGGCTAAGGAACAACTGCTGCACTTCCCAGGAGCTGTTTCCCCAGGAGGGCTGCAGGGAACAGAGGAGCTGGGCACCTGGGGCAGGCTGCCCCCTGCCCAGCCATGTCTCTGCCTCCCACCACTGCTGCATCCCCTGCTCAGGGACCTGTCCCAGCCCAGCTGGCTGTTAGGACTGGGAACCATCAGAACAGCAGCCACTYAGTTTCTGTGCAACCCCAGTTTCTCTTCCTCGTCCCCAGTTCCTCCCTGTAAAGCAGGGACAAGTCAGCTGGTGGAGAGCAGGGAGAAGGAGCATAGCTTCCTACCTGGCAATGAAGATGCAGAGCAGATAGACCTGATCRGGTCCTGCGAGAAACATGGCAACACTGAGAGCCAGCTTGAGGAAGAAGAGTCCTCGCACCACCGCGTACACCCCGCAGCGGCGGCACAGTGACAGGAAATAGAGGTTGTTGAGGTGAGGGGCGATGTAGGAGACACCTGAGCAGAGACACAAATAGCTTGGAGTTTCACTATCCACCTCCTACAGGGACTCAGAGACAGGATGAGGTTGAGCTCTGCAGCAATGCAGAACTGAACCCCTCACGCATGGGGAGATAACAGCTGCAACAGGTCTGCTCAGTTGGCAGCAGAGCACACGGTCTGCACAGGGAGGGCTTCTTCCACCAGCCTCATGGGCAAGGGGAAAGAACAGACTCACCTAGTGTCAAACAGAGGATGGGACTTAGCCCCACAGCCAGAAATGAGGGATGGGACAGCATGACCCGACCTGGCCTGCACAGAACCCTCCCAGTAACCATGGCCTAGTAGGAGCAGTGCTCACCGATCTGCTGCACTTAGAGCAAAATCTGTATGGAGCTGTGGAGTCTAGACCAGAGCCCAACACCATGCTCTTCACCATCAGAAAAAGCTCCAAGTTATTTCTCTTGTGCTCAGGAAGGAGGCAAGGTTGGACTCAGGAGGTCCCAGGAAACAGGTGGGGTGTGTGTATTTGTGGGGAAACGTTACAGCAGAGAGACCTGCAAGCACACCTTCCCAACCAGACTCTGGCAAGAGAGAATCCAGAGTCAGGCAGGATCCTAACCTGGCTGCTCCCTCCAGCTCCATCTGAGACTCACCTAGAAGGAAGGATCCAGTAGAGACAGAGATCTGGTCTGACAGCAGGTGCTCCAGAAACAGAGGGAAGAAGTTGCTGTTAAAGTGGCAGTGAAAAACCTGCAAAAGCAGCATGCAGATGACCTGATCAGCAGGAAGAGCAGTAAGAACAGGAAAGCCAACAGCTAAGGGAGCCCTGTTCTGCTCCCTTAAGTGCCCCCCGTGCCAGAGGACAGTGCAGGATGGGCCTAAAGCACTTGAGCAAGGTGGGTGCTTGGCCATGGAGGTTACCACACTGTAGATCTGCAAAGCTACAACCCCAGCAGCCATCTGCCCCACACACAGGGTCACTCCTGCTGCTCCAGGAAGCCTTCCCCACTGGCACCACATGGGAGCTGCCCGGCAGGCTGGGAAACAGCTGCAGGAGCCACAGCTTCACAGGATGCAGTGGCAGGGTAGGAGGAAGATGACCCTCAAATACAGAGGCAGATGAGCATCCAGAGCTGGCCCAAGGGGAATGGAGGGGTCCCTGGGGAGACAGGAGCTGGGACTGCAGCTCAAAGCTTTGGAAGGCTGGGCAGGCTGTGGACATTGGGTGGGAATCAGTGAAGAGGATGCAAACCATAGATGGCACAGGGCATCCATGGAGGTGGATGCAGCTGAACAGTGGGAGTGGTGACAGGAGCCTCACACCAAAGGGGAAGGAGACGGTGCTGACAGCTAGGCCAGCAACCCTGCACTCCTGAAATCTTTCCTGCTGCAAGCCAGGCCCCACACAGGTGCCCACTGCTCAGCCCACTGTCACCAGCCAGGGCTGCAGACACAGCAGGGAGATAGCCACAGCCTTCCCAGGCCACAGGCCAGGAGAGCAGCCACCAGCTGCTGGCTCAGCCAAGTGTGTGCAGGAGGCTCGGAGAGCAAGCAGGTGCTGGCAGCACCTCTGCCTTCCCAGGGGACTAGCACCCTGCTGGATCCCCACCTGAGGCACCCGCTGGATCCCCACTGGTCACAGCCAAGGCTCATGCTCTGAATCACAGCACATCACTGCTGCACCTACCTGGACAAGGTTCATGCAGACAAACCAGAGGAAGTTGTGGTGTCGGGAGAGCTGCTGGAGATACTCTGCCAGGGTGATCCTCTTCTCCTGGGGGACTGAGTGTTTCTCAATGTACAGCCTAAAGGGAGAAGAAAAACCTACCTGTGAGTCCTTCATGCAAGCAGCAGAGAGCTCCCAGTCCCTCATGTCCCAGTGCAGATCTCTCCCTCCTCAGCTCCCACCCCTTTTCCGGCACCAAAGCAGAACAGCAGAATCTGCAACAACGTGTGTTTATTGCTAGCAAGGACAGGCTACTCACCTCCCAAAGAGCACTTATTCTCGGAACAAGAAATCAAGACTTTTGTCCACATAAACACTCTTCTYCCATCAGCCATTCTACTCCACATGCTCCAGGCCCTACAGTCAGCCYGCCTGGCAGACCTCAGCAGGATCTGCTGGGTTAGTAATAGCATAATGCTGGCAGCTCAGATCACACCAGGAGGCAGCCCGAGGGAAAAGCCAGGGAGCTGAACAGAGAAACCAGCTGCATCATGGCCCAACAGCCCAGCCACTACCAGGCAGCTAAAGCGAGCAAAGGGGTAAGAGACATTCGCTTGTCCTGTCCYGTAGGAAATGGGCAGCAAGGTGGCCTCATGCTCAAGCAGGAATATTTTCATAAGGTTCTTCTGACATTTTGCCACTCACAGGCCTGGGTGCTCTAGTTATTAACATTTCTTGTTCCAGACACTGGTTGGGCCATACAGCAGGTCAAGGCTCTGCCTCCGGTTTGGGCCAGGAGTGACACGAGACAGTTTTGTCCTATTTTCAGAGGGCCTTAGCAGCCAGTGTGGCAGAAGTGACYCTGAAAACTGTATCAGACAAGAACCATAGATGATTAACAACAAATTGCCTTGTCCTGGATCTTACCACACATCAGAGTGCTTTCAAGCAAAATAGGACTCTATAGATCTATGCCAGGAATTTGTCCCACCTGCAGCTTGCTGACACTTACTCCTTCAGCGCTGATTCCTGGTCCCATTTTGCTTTCCCACCAGCCTCAAACCGCTGGCGGAGCAGCTGCGTTGACAAGGTAAAGCCAACGATGGAGCAGAGGGCCAACACCACACAAAATACGCGAAAGGAGAAGAAGTCTTCTTTGTTCCACACTGCATAGGACATGAAGACAGAGAGCGAGCCTATGGCACTGAAAAGGGCACAATAGAAGTTGAGGCTCGTCCTGTCCTTTGCCGAAACAGCCAGGTCTGCAAGCAAGGCATTGTGATGGAGGTCCACCATGGTGAGGAAGCTGTCGTAGAGGCAAAGGCAGAGCAGGAACTGCACGCCAGGATGAGCCCAGGCTACCCAGAATGCCAGGAAGGAGATGGCAAAGAGGGGCCCATTGTGGCTTAGTGCCCTGAGTCTCTTCARAACTACTTCTGGCGAGGAGATCTCCGCTCCTGGCCTGCAAGAGAAAAAAAAAACAAACAAAAAGGCCACTTCTAGACACCTGGACAAAGCCCCYGTGACCAAACAGGAGCCCCAGCCACGTGCATATCCCTCCTCATGTGAGTTACATAAGCAGTCTGGACACATATACAGCATTTGCTAAGGCAATAAGCACCCCCTGTCAGATACCTTCTCATCTGACAGGCAGACAAATTGGGTTTAAGATGAAAAATCATGAAGGAATGTAATTTTTTCTCTCCAGAACAAAGTTCTTTGTGACAGTTTTGCATTGTCTGCTTCGATCAKCACTTATAAAGTGATCCCCATGCTGCAGTAAATAGCACAAGGAGCCTTGCCACAAGATGCATTAAAAGCTTGAAGGAAACRCATGCAAAACACTAATGGCCAACAGTGATCCATGAATCAGAGAGCCTGGGAAGAAGCAATTTGAGGCATTCCAGATGGGAAACATTGCCCTCTCCCCAGTACATGCATGTATTATCCAATGCCCTGGTAAGAGGCTTGCTCATGTAGCAGAGGCTTCAGATTTTAAATGCCTATATTATAGGTTTAGAACCACTCATGTAACTCCAAAGTTAGGCTCCCATTTACCCTTGCAGAGGTGATTTCCTCTATACAGAGGGATACTGAAATAAAATGTGAAGCACACTGAAGTCCTAAGGCACAAAGAAAAGGTGCTAATTGAGTCCCATGCTCCAACACCTCCCTACACCACTTCAAAGCTGTCGCTTGCGCATTATCTCCCCCAGAGAGGGAAGAGCTTCCCTGTCTCTGCTGAAAATGGAACTTAACTTACTGCTGCGTGCTAAGGAAGACTCGGTCACTCAGCCAGCCAAAGAGAGGGTCATTGAGGCTGTTCCAGATCAGAAACACAGTCTAGGAAAGGAGAGAAAACAGTGAAACAAGCTGCACTGAGCTCCTGCAGAGATCCAGCCAAGTTTTTGAAGCAACCAGTGCTCAGCTGGCACAGCAAGCAAGCAGCAGGAGCCCTTCCCACACACCCTCCCAGCCCATCACTGCTCTACACRTCTCCTATCTATAGGTGTCAGCTATGGCTGACAGATTAAAGACAGTGAGGCCAGTGATTCCCAGCCTGTGAAACACCCTGCACCCCACAACCTCCAAGGGAAGGCTGTCTTAGGAGCAAAGTTTCTGGGATTTCTATCTCTGCTTATTCTTTGTTGATGTGAGGCAAAATAGAGAGCCTAAGTTAGCACTCCAAGGACTCCCTCACTCCTTTCCCAAAGAGGAAAAAACTGCAAACTAGTCTTTCTACTTTTAGCAAGGAGCAGCCTTGCTTCAGAATTTTCCATGGACGAGACTAACCTCTCCTATCCAGAAGGACAGTTTATCAATCTTGTAAACAGAGACAAAGGTGTCCACATAGTACAGCAGGAACACGTTGTGCAGAATGGAAACAAACAGCGACAGGGAGCCGTAGATCACAGCAGTGGGCAGACGAGCAAGGCAGGGCAGCAGCCACAGCCCCATGGCAGCGCAGCCGGCATCCAGTGCCCTCAGTCACCTCCATTTCAGATGGGACATCTTCTCCCAACACCAACCAGGTCTTTGCTGCGGCCAGGCCATGGTTGCTCCTGCAGGAAGGAAACAAAGACACCAGATTTCATTTAAGTAAATGAAAAGCTGGACCAAATTAGTTGATAAGAGATGAGGGTTCATACTGCTTTAGGGGTTGTTCAAAAGTGAATCGCAGGGGATGTACAAGGCTGGTAGCTGTCTGCTGCACCAAAGCCCTTTCCTTAAGGACCAGTCAGGCTGCAGGGCTGCAACTGCCTCCTCATGAGCAGGATGCCCAGTCCTTTATGCCTTAATGTCCTTGTTACCTGGCAAATAGCCAGTTTTCCACCTTTTCAAAGGCAAGGTTGCAGGAAAAAGCAAGTTAGATGGAGGCAAACAAACAAAAAACCAGTTTTTAGAAAACAGAAGTAGTCACTGACATTTCTAAGGTATAAGTTTAGCCAGCCAGAAGTGACAGCAGCTGTGATGTAGCCCCGCACATGCACCCTGCCTTCCCCAAGCCGTGGCAGCAGCTGCACSTGGCTGTGCTCAGACAGCAGCTATTCACAGCGAGCAGCGTCGCTGCTTTGCGGCAGGGCAGACACGGCACTCAACGGCACACAGCACACTCCAGGCCTCAGTGCAACAGAGGCAGCCACAGGCCACCTGGCAGCTTYGGGCAGCTGGAATTTTAGGATTGCTGTCTGCAATAAAGATGCTGTTGCTGGAGAGCAAAATATATGGGAGGAAAAAATGTGGAACAAGCCACTGGGCACTCAAGAGGTGCAGGTGGATGGGGAAGGGATGGAGGGCCCCTCAGGAGCTGAAGACCGGGAAATCCAGTCATCTTCCCCCCATGACACACACTCCTGCTTTTCACATTGGAGCCCAGGATGCTACAGAAGCAAAACGTCAGGCACCTCTGTGCCTGCAGCCTCTGCATTTGGTGAGATCTGAAGGGTTCTCACAGCAGTGAGAGTGGTGCTGGCGTGGGCTGAGGTTGCTAAGCTGCCACAAGGTGCTGGTTCWTAACAGCAGGAAAGGGGCTGCCAACCCCCCCAGCCTCAGCCCTCCCGCACAGCCCCTGCTCGGGCACGCTCCGGGACAGCTTCCCGGCGGGAAGCGCACATGGGGGCAGGAAGCGGCCCGGCACGCAGCCCCGCAGCGCTTGCGACAGCGGCTGCCACAAGCCCGAGCACAGGAAGCAGATCAAGGGGAAGAATAAACGGTCAGCAATGAAACTTGACGAAATTCCAGTCCCATTCAGCATTTCCCAGAAGCCACGAGTTTGACCACTTCTGGGCAAGACCAGAAAAGCAAAAATAACCATCTGTTCTGCCCAGCCTGAGGAATTCCTCGCAACTCGTTCAGCAGGAGCAGGAACAGCGCTGGTTCCAATAAATGACATCACCAGATTGCAACTGCACATGGACTCGCTGCCGGCGAGATCCAAGCRCAGCGGCCTCGTGGAGCCGAGCCACCATCCTGCATCCCCACCACGCCAAACCCTGGGCAGATGAAAGGACACAGGGCTTGGAGGGGAATTCAGCTAGACAATGAACATTTATAGGTGTAATTAAAGACAGATGTGCTGACGAGCTTCCAGGGGAAATGGCATTTACTAAGGTTGCGAGCTGAAAAAGAAATCAAGGATTTGTAATGTGTCAAGATAAAGGCTTGGAAAAGAAGAGAGATAAGCTTGGAAGCAACTGCAGAGCACAAAGCCCCAGGCACAGGAGAKGAGGTGGAACATGGGACCAACATATTCACCAAGCACCAAGACCAAAGAACTGGGAACAAGTTGCTCAGTGCAACTTGGAATTTAACACAGAAATCAATTTAACACCAACACCACATAAGCATAAATATGCTTATTTACCTGGCAGGTAGCAAACACCTGAAATCTGCTACTGAAGGAGGTTGCAAATGTGGATAGTAGTTCAAAGGATGAGAGAAATTCATGGGCAAGAGGTCCTCAGAGAGCTACTGAAGGGGCTCAGGCAGGGAAACTGCCTCTAACATCCCCAATCCAGGGATTCTGTCTGCCGGGAAGGGGCAAGAGCAAAGGCCCCCAGGCAGCGGCCAGGCTCACGCACTCTCCATCCAAATTGCATCTCCTGCTGCCGCTGTGGGACAGGACACAGGGTGAGGCAGAACAGCCAGGAGAGCCACCTGGGCGCTTCCGACACAGGCACAAGCGGAGCAGTGGAGCAGGTCACCACACCCCACACAGAGTCACAAAAAGGGGGGGATCCTCCCCAGTGTTTTCAGCTGTGTAAGCAGCCCACTGAAGCACCTGCACTGGGTGGGAAGGGGGACCCAAGGGGAATTTTTAAGGAGAAGAGGGGGTGCTGGGGGTGAGGTTCTCCGCTATGACCAGCGCATCATACAAACTCTTCCTGCTAGTGAATTCAGGTGGTTTGGCAGGAGGAGGTTATTTTAGACAGATGACGTGTGCTTTACATGGGAGAATGCAAGCCAGCTCCAGGCCCACATTCCCAGCCCACATTCCTGGCCCATGCAGCATCCTTCCTCCTTTGACTCACTCAAAGGCAGGAGTCAACTGGGAAGGGACAGGGATCACAGGTAGGTGAGAAACAGTCTCAAACCCTCCAGCAGAGCAAGGGCTTTGCCCAGGCTCGCATGCCCCATCGCCAGGTGAGGAGCCAAGCTGTGCAGCATCCAGCGGAGCRAGGCCTGGCCAAGCACCCGGAGCACTGACCTGCTGGGCTTCCCAGAGCCCCCCGTGCTGCCGCGTCTGTGTGAAGCGCTGCTTCAACAAGGGCCAGGCCCTCCTCCTGTGCCCRTCACCGCCTCGCAGCTGCGCAGCCCCTCGGGCCAGCCAGGGCCTCGACCCGCTGCACCAGCGCTAGGTCATCTCCCCTATCTGCAAACAGGCACAGGAAAAGAATCAAATTATAGCTGTCCATTAAAAAAAGAAAAAAGTGGATTCTGCTTCTGTAGCCAAAGCCCTGAGCTGYTCGAGTCTGACACACTGGTATTTTCATAACCTTTTCCTTTGGAGAGCGCATTACTCACAGTGCATGTCAGAACTTTTCAACATTAGGCGTTAAGAAATAAGGGAGAAGGAGCTCCAAGAGGGAATAGCTATCACTCGTTACCCTGAACTTCTAAAGCACAGTCATCAAGAGATGAGCTCGTAAATTAGAAAGCAGCTAGCCTCAGCTGCAGGAACTCCCGCATCTGCATTTGACATCTGGCTTYGCTCCCGCCGGTGACGTTTGCAGATCTTATCTTCAAGACGACAATTTGAGCACTGGCTACCAGGAAATCACCGCCTTTGTGGGAGAGCTGGCAGACAGYAGCTGGAAGTACACGGCATGCAAAGACTCCTACATCTGTCCCAGCTTCCCAGCCAGTTCACAGCTGGAGCCACAAGTGCCCCAGTCCCACAGCGATCTGGCAACCCCAGGCTTTGGAGCAAGACCCCGGTGCCAGCACCTAAGCTCCAGCCTCCTGCAGCTGGAGCCTCTCGTACCGAGTTGGCAGCAGGGCCCTGTGCAGGAATCCCGGCCCAGCTCAGCCTTTCAAGCAGGACCAGATGATTCCTGCTTGGTGAAGTTGTCCCTCAGGGACCTGACAGTCATCTGCAGACCTGACCACTGCACAAGGACGACTCTCCAGGTGGGTAACACCCTGGAATATCCCAAATAACACTCCAGGAGACATCTAAGCTCCAGCAGTCACTAGGGGGCTTCTGCTGCATATTCTGCATTTTGGGAGGCCTATTGGCTCAGAGGGGAACAGGCAAATCCACTGGCTCCATGTGGCTGCATTCACAGCGCAATAAATCCACCCGCAGGACAAGCTGCCTGAGAGGGGATGATATTTCTAGACATTCCTCGTGCCCAGACAGGCCAGGGCTGCTGCCCAGCCTTGTTCCCGCAAAACATGGCTCTGTGGAGCATTCCCATCCGGTGGGAAAGCCACATTAAATAAGAGCAACCTCATTCCAGTAAGAGCCAGCCTGCATRCACTAAGAGCAGTTTTGTCCCTGAGCTTTCACAAAAAGAAGTCACCCCAGAACAGTTAGAGCTCAGTTGTTCCTTCTCTGCAGTTAGACCAGCCAAGCCACGCTTAAAAAAACCTATAAATATATTTAAATCCTCTCTTTGCAGGTGAACACATGTCCAAAGACCAGAATCTCCGTGTAAAAGTTTCTCCACTACCTGCGATTCAAAAAGACCTTCACTTCAACCCAAAAAGGGAGTCTCAAAATCCACTTCCATCCCATGAATGCAACTCTATTTCCTTAAAGAATCCACTCACCAATGGAGAGTCTCAATGAAACAAACAATCCCAAACAAACATAAACCCAAGTAAAACATTAATGTATCCACAGATAGCAGCTTCCAGCAGTCTAGTGTCCAAAAAGAAAGCAATAAAGGCCTCAATAACCCAATAACAGCTGGGCCAGGCAAGGAAAAGCAGGGTTCCCGTTCCATTTACCCATTCGACACTCATAAATACCTCAGGATCATAAGAAACTGGGCAACACCCTTCCCATTCCCAGCAGTCACGTGCTGCACTCGGATGCTTCTGTCGCTCCCTCAAAGTGCCCTGGAGCACACATGTAAATAGAAGAGCTACACAGACACTAATTAACATTTAGAATTAGCTGATATTTTCTGGGGAGCCATTTCCYGTGCTCATGGAGAGCACTCTTGTCAAGTCAGATCCCATCCAATCTGATGGGATGACAAGGCTCGTTGATAGTGGCAGCCAGGTGGATCCACCAGTCTTGGCGTGTGGCAACCCACTGAACCTGGGGGATGGAGGCTGCCCYGGCCCCAACACTGCCAGGATTCCGCCGCCATGGCAGGGAAGGACCCGACCACCCCCCAGCACCCCCCCCCCGGGGCCAAGTGGTACGGCCCAGATTAACGTGGGGAGGCAACCCCCGGGCTGGACCATTGCGGGGATGGGGGGTCCCCACCGCCCCCACTGCAAGGGGGGACCCCCCGCTTGTCTCCGCACGGACACCCCAACGGGAGGTACCACCGCAGCCCGGGCTACGCACGACCCGGAACCGGGACTGCACCGGGACCCACCGCCGCCGCCCGCCCGGCGCCTCCTACCTGCGTCCGTTACCGGCGTTGATCCCGCCGCGCCGCCGCACCGCGCATGCGCCCCGGCGACCCCGCCCCGGGCAGAGGCCATCTTGGGTCGTGGCAAGGGACGCCGCGCCTGCGGGCGGCCATCTTGTGTGAGGGCAGCCCGCCTCAGCGGCAGCCCCGCTGGYCGGGCACGACTGCTGCTCTGGGACTCGTTAGGCCCGGGCCTCCAGTCGCCATGGCAACGAGCCGTTCCCTTAGCTAAGATTCCTCATAATCCGTAAAATTGAGCGTGGGCCACAGCCACCAAGGACACCCATAGAGACCCCTTTTACACTATGGGGTCCCAGTATTTAAGACAATAAAAATCTGTGTCATTTATGCTCACTTTTAGGTGTTTTCTCTTAAAGCAGCAGCTGCAAGCACCATTCTAATTGTCAATAAAAAGCAACATTAAACCCTACAGCAAACAGGTCATTGACTGAAATGTCACACAAGAAAGCAAGAAGCCTAGCTGATAGCTTTAAAGAAGTATCACTGCTTGTTAGCATTTTAGAGCCRTTTAGAATAATGAAAAGCTACTTAAACCGGCTATTCTTAAAAACATGCAAGGGCCCAGTAATTGACTAAAATTGATAAGTTCTATAAAAGAGTGGCCAATAGGCAAGCACTTGRGATTACCTGAAAAATAATGCAGCAGTGGCTGTCCTTAAGGGRTACCTTCTGCAGCACCAGTTACTCCTAGGGACCATGCAGGGACTTACCAGGCTCCTTATGGGCCTGGACTGGGATTTATATCCATGGGAAGCCCCTGGCAGCACAGGTGTTTGCAATACCCTCAGTGGGCATATTCCCATGGATCCTTGGAATACAAAGGGTAGGTGGGCACCCCACCTGAAGGTGTTTAGGAAGCCAGGATTAGGGTTTTGTTCCCAGAGTAGTCATGGGTGGCTTGYGCTTTTTCCTCTGATTACTTTAAGCGTTGTGATTCTCTTTTAGTAGCTATTAGTAGTCTTTTAAAAAGCTTTATTTCTTTAAGAAAAGCTCTGAATTTTAGGTGGGAGTATTTGTGTGGTTTTTTTGTTGTGGGTCTGGTCTGCTTGTGTTGACTTCAATTCACTTTGCCTGTGCTCTGACTATCCTTAGGGCTGTTTTTTTGGTGAGGTGCTTTAGTAGTTAAGAGTACGTTTTGTATCAGCTTAGTGGTTTTGCCCTCAGTCAACCAGGATTGTTTAAAGTTCACTGAATGTGTAATGCAATGAAGTAATGAGCTTCCTGATATGTTTTCCTTAGTTACCTGGACATGTTTGGACAGGCTTTAAAGCCCAGTTTACTAATGAAATACTCTTCTATGAAAAGATGTAGTAGTTTCTTAGACATATCTGTCTTTTTAAGGTCTATCAAGCCATGAGAAGGGGCAGCAAAGTCTGGATTGTGTCTTCTAGCCTTTTGGGATCTAAATAAAGATACCGCCTTGGCAGTTTTTATTCCAGAAGTGAGTACCTATATACCATGCAAATGTCTGTTTCTAGTTCCAAACTTACAGGCAAAGACTTGTTTAGTCTGCAGTGTTATAGCACTAAAATAATGCTAATGTTAGCTTAAGCTATTGAAGCARTAGTATGTCACTAGGACGTTCTGAATTTAGTAATTAAAATACAAATGATCTTGAATTGTTGTAGGATATTAGTATGCCTCAATAGTTGGAGGAAACTTATCTGGAGAACCTGGGTGCCTAACCAGTTAATGCCTTTGCAGGGAATAATCTCCTAGTTTTCCCTAGGCTTCAAGGGCAAAGACTTGTAATCAAGCAGCTGAGAGCAGGATGCTGTGAAAGCACAAAAGCTGTGTCCAAAACAGGCTATTTCCAGCCTGTGAACTAGCTGTGTGTAAGATGGGAAAGCACGTTAATCAGAACTAGGCAGATAAATCAAGGTTAAAGTAGAATAATTTGTCTTTGTGTAAAGAAAACAATTTATAACCAACAGGTGTTRGATAACTATATGGGAGTCTGAAGCCTTTTTTTAAAGGCAGAAACTTGCAAGGCCACCTGCCCCTTATCAGTAATGCCTTGTAAGGCTGAGATTGCCTAGGTAGTGATATCAGAAACACTCAACTTAGGTATGGATGTAGCAAAACTGAGACCAACAGGGGAAAAATAATTAGGGATGGGTAGTTCAGCTGGGAGGAGACTGGACAGAAGAAGGGAGGTGCAAGCCCAGCAAAAAAGGGGTCAGGAAATGAAGAATAAGGTGAGGAAAAAGGAGGATAGAATTGGCTGGTGGTTGCATTGTGGGCACCTGTGGATGGTGGCAAAGCTGACTTGTGGTTCCAAGTCCACTGGGATGCTGGAGTGATGCTCCCTGGAGAAATGGGATTTTTTCATCAGATTGAGATCTGCCAGACTTAGTGTGGGGTGGTAAACGAAGTTGTKCTCTGGAAAGAAAGGGGGATGGACAAAAGACTTTGTAAAGATTGCAAAGACTTGTACGTTAACGTTGATTGTGGGTGATTAATCACCCTTAAGGGTGATTGTGCTGAAGGGTGCTGTAATTTTGGGATTGTACTGTGTGATTGGTAAGATTTTAATTTTATAACTATATGGGAAATCATTGTAATTATAAATTAGTTGGTTAATTAGATTGATCACCTAATTGCCTTAGCTTTAGTAGTGTGTTCAATTAATCATTAAAAGTTAGTCTTGAATCAGTTGTGTCTCAAGAATGCAATCTGATGGGGAAGAGCTGAGTCCCGAGGCAGCAGTTAGGGACTTTTCCAGGCTCTCCCAGCTTGGAAGTTTCAGCTAAGTGATACAGAGATGTTTTGGCTGAAGGGAGGTGGATGAAGAAAAGTATTGGATTACTGCTTGGACAAGGAGGAGAATATGTTAGTGCTGGCTCTGTTGAAGTATTTAGGAGATCTCTGGGACTGGGAGGAAGAAAAGCTCAGCACTGTAGGGGCTTTTGTTTGATCTAGGCTTATGGAGTAAAGAGCTGTGTGTTGGGGGAAAAAAAGCTTGTGGAATAACTTGCAAATGTCCCATAATGAGACACTACTACCGTGCTGCAGTAAGTCTGCTAACTAAACAGACGGATTGGAAGAATGTGCGGGAGGTGGGAAATGATAATGCTTGATTAAAGCAAGCACAGTGTGCCCGAGAAGAGTTTTAGACCAGAAAAGGTGTTAGCTCTTGGTAGGAGAAACTGGGGATCCTGAGACATGGGGCAGAGATGCTTGGACCTTGCAAGGTGACTGTCCTTAAGTCTTAAGCAAAAGTGGCTGTGCTGGTTGCTTGGAAGATATGCTGAGTTGTGGTGGTGGTGAGGGGAGAGTTGTAGCAATACATAGAGAGGTGGACATCTCAAGGAAAAAAAAAAGATATAGCAAGAAATTTGAGGGGTGACCTGTATGTGATGACAAAATGTAAGGATACCAAATGTGTGGACTTTAGAGCAGGCAGTGGCAGATGCCAGGGCCCTGCCTGGTGACGCAGGGACCCCGTGGTAGTCATTCCCGTGTGTCATTCCCAGCAGTGCAGCTGTTCCCGACCTGCCCTATCCAGCAGCTGCTGTGGCAGCTCTGAACTTCTCTTGGTCTGAATGCAACTTGCTGCTGACCGCTGYTTGAGCAGAGCTCTGCCATGGGGTTTTCTTATCAAAGGCAAGTGAAGACTTGCTCTGTGCTGATGAAGGCTTTTCTTGGTTTCCTCGTGGTCTGGACTTTCCCCAGGCTTCACATAAATGCCTGACTCGTGCTAGATTTCAGTGCTTTCTGGGAATGCTGCTTTGAATAGCTGAGAAAAATCTGGTCCCCTTTCAAAGGGCTTGGGTGAGACATGACTAATATGTCTTAACCACTTTCTGTGGCTACCAATGTGCCAGTTGGAGCTCTTCTCTTGATGAGACTAGCAACCCAAAGCCCCCAGGGAGCTGGGTGAGGGCCACAATCTCCTGGCCTCGGAAACAGCCTCCTTGCTTTCTTGCTGAGGGATTGTTCATGGCACAAGGTCTGGGAGGGACAGCTGGGCATGGTTTTAACCTGGCCCTTGGAGGGAAGAATTGATGGCTTGGAAGCGGTGGGTTTTGTGAGAAAGTCTTCTGGAAACGATGGCTGCTYGTTCCCACCTGCAAAGGGAGGTGGTGTCCAAGATCCTGTCCTCCTATATATGAGATATCTTAGATATCATCATCCTAGATATCAATAGATATGTGTTGTAGTGGGGTTTTTTGTTTTGAGTCAACTCTAGCATGTATAGTAATTTGGACAAGGTGAAATAGTTCCTGCTGGAAAAGTTTTCCTACCTTTGGTGGGAGATGGTGGAAGTGTGTGGAGGAGAGAGGGTGGAAGGGGGCAAGAGTTGGATTGCGGGCACTTCTGGGAGAGCTTCTTGCTGTGTGTGAGTGAAGTGGGTGGGAAGGAGACAAGGATGCTCTCCGGTAGCTCTTGCACCAGGTTAGAAAGAGCTTCCCTCCAACAGGCCATTAGAGCAGCCACGGCTGGCACTGGGCTTGCTGTGTGTCCTGCCAGGCCAGGTGAATSATCTCAGCTGCTGCTGTGGTCCAGCTCTGTGTCCTGCGTGGGCTGGAGGCCACCTTGCTGCCTCCATCTACCTGCTGTGCTGCTGCTTTGGTCCTGCTGAGCTAGGTGGCATAGCTCCTTTTAGCCTAAATCTACACACTGATTCTGGACTACATCTCTCCTGTTTCCAGTAGTAATAACGCACTCTAATCTCAAACCCTTTCCTCCTCCTAGCTTCACCACCACTCCTGAGAACTGCTAGGCTTGCGTTCAAAGTACCTGCACCTCAGTGCAAAGCCCTMTTGGAGGCTGCTGTCAGTGTCAAGGTTTAGTTTGGATGTTACTACTAGGCAYTATAAAGGAATAGATCAAATATCTGAGCTTTACTGGGTAAATAGGAGTCATAATTTGCACTTCTGTTAATCGGTTGCCTCCCTGGGGCACCCTGTTGTGCCAGGCCTGATATAATAACCCTCTTGTGGAAGTATTTGCTGCTCCTTGGCTGGAGCCCTCATTCCTATGTTGCTGCCAGGGTTGTGAAGCCCAGCAAGAGCATCTCCTTTAGGAATGCTGGCAGATGTCCCATGAATCCATACTGGTGATGGAAAAGTGAATCCATAATGTTCTGCTGGGAATAGGGAGAGTTCACATGTGTCTTGGGGTGTGCAAGGGAGGTGTGGACTTGGTCTGTGGGCTGCAGAGCCTCTGCTGCTCGAGAGCCCGGGCAAAAAGCAAAGTGGGAGCTTTAAGTGCATGAACTGATGTGACTCAGTCTCTCTCAGCAGGTCTCAATGTGCAGCGAGAGGGCCTTGCTGGCTCGGAGCGCATGGGAATGTGCAGACAGACCCTGCTTGTCTGAGGGATCTGGTTTTAACCTCTTGCTTCCAGCCTTTGAAGTGTTCTTCCTCTAAGGGAGGCCTCGCCAAGGGCTTTGCCAGATGGCAACTGTTCTGCAGCGTCCACTCAAAAAAGGGGAGATTAACTGGAAACAGCTCATGAATTCTTCAGCGTCTTGATCAGGGAAAATGTTGATGTTAGTGTTCGAGTGTCCCTGTGCCCCTGGGAGTCGCTACAGAGCGGTGCCAACTGGCCCGTGGTTTTTGTGGGGCAGGGGAAAGAACAGGAAGGGAAGGAAGCCAGAAACAGTCTTAAAAGTTTGGGTGCTGGAACAAGGGAGCGGGGAAAAGTATCCAACATGAGTCTACTTATTCTCCCCTCCTGGGAATGAATCACAGGGCAGTGGAATGGGCTGAGAACAGTCATGGTCAGCCCTTGGAGTAAGATGGATGTTGCTTCCTTGGGGCCAGATGTCCCTGCAGTTGCGCTGACTTRTGGAGTGCTCTGGGGAGGCTGCTGAGATGCCTCCACTGTGGTGGAGGGCATGGGACCCAGCACGGTTTGTATGGTGCTGCAGACAGGTCCAAAATCCGTGGTGGCTCTCACTGGAATGTCAATGAAGTTGTGACTGTTTAGACCATCACAACTGATGTCTCCAGATACTGAAGACTTTTATAATAAAGCTCCTCTCCCTGTACTTTGATCTGTGTCCACACTAGTTGGGCTAGTTTTAATTCCCCTCCTAGGGACTGGGCAGTGCCTTGCATGGGTGTGAATATTTACCTGTGTTTCTAGGTGGTGAGCAGCTCAAACTGCCAGACATTTCCCTGAACTTGCAGCTCTCCTTAGCTGACAGYGACGCTTCTCTGCCTTGGGATGTGTTCATCAAAGCCACCCTCTCCTCTGAAGCTATGAAGGGCAGTTGTCTTGAGATACAGAAGTGCCCAAGATGAGTGAGACTGATTAAATGTTAATTAGTGGTAAATTCACCTGTAGTAAATAAGCACAGAACAGAGTGGGGAAACTATCTTCTACAGAGCTGAACTATCCAGTGTACTGCGGCTTTGGCAGCTATCTCAGGTGCCCCATAGCAGCTTGGTCAGCTGGAGCTGGAGGGGCCTTGCTCAGCAGATGGAGCATTTTGGACTGAAGAGACTGACCTCATAGCTTCCAAAAATGCATGAGGTGGGGAAAGGCTCTGCCAAAGGGCTGAGTGGGGSCTGAGGGAATTGCTGGTGTTGGCCCTGGCAAGAGTTTGCAGTGTCCTGTTCCTTCCTACCAGAGATGGTGATCGTGTTTTGGCCGGCTGGAACCTTGCTGGGAGCTCACTGCTCTGGGCCTGGCCTCTCATGTGGCCCCAGCCAGGTGGAGCTTTCCCAGCAAGGCCCAGCTGGTGAGAGGTCGGAGGGGAGAAGCTGCGTTGTCTGCCCCTGTGGCCCTCCTTGCTGGCTTGGCTCCCTGCTGCTCCCCRGCTGCGGAGAGCTGGTTTCCAAGCACAGCAGGGCCTGCCCGGCCCCATGGTCCATGGCACCAAGGAGCTGGCTCTGAGCTGCTCAGAGGCCCTCATCAGGGCACGTCTCAAGCTTTCAGGGCCGTCCTGCCCTTTTCAGTTCAGGATATCTAGGTGCTGGGCAGTGGATGTGGGGACTTCCCCTCCCACCCCTTTCCCCACGGCACAGCAGAGCTTGAAACTGCAGAAAAGGAAGAGTGGGTGGTAGCCTGAAATGACAGGTCAGSCGGGCTTCTCTCCATGCTTTGGTCGTACACTTGGTCCTGAAGGCTGTTTGCCTCTGAAGTTCCCCTCCCACAGAGGACTTTGCAGTTTCTCTCCTGCACTTAAAATAGAGTCAGGTAGGGCATAAATTCCTTCTCCAGTAAGGAAGYGGAGGACTGTTTGCTTTGCATGACTAGTTACTGCTCATGATGTTCATCATGCTCTTGGGGCAATATGTCCGGAAGAGCCACGAGAGGCACGTGCCATTCTGCCACTGACCTGCTTCATCAGCAATGAGCCCTCGGCTGCCTTGGAGCCCCTTAAGTTGCCCGTCTTCTAATGCCCCCATGCTGTGCGGAGCGGAGGTGACAACCCGGGCTGGTGGTGACAACCCAGGCGTTCTCCTTGGCTGGGGAGCACCTGGCTTGGGCCAGGTGGTGGAAGCGGAGAACTGCTTTCTGGGCAGGGAGCAGCGCAGGGTGGGAGAGGAGCCCAAGGAGCGACTTGGTGGTGCCGGGRGCAGGTTGGTGGCTGAGGGGCACAGGGGCAGAGCCAGGGCAGCCTCTGGCTGCTGGCAATGGAAACATGATGGGGTAGGAGCAGGGGAAGAAGGGAAGGGAGATATGGGCCATTCCTTAAAGGTTGTGGGYAGGGATGGGCTTCTAGTGGGCTTCAGTTGGCACCACCTTGAAGCAAATGGCTCCGGAGGGGCAGGGCAGGAGCGTTGTGCCTCTGTGTCCCAAAACCCTATTGCAACACAAGTAATAGGAACAGTGCCTGATTTGGAGAAACAGGGCTTGGTGCYTGTGAAGCTAAGTCCTTGTTAGGGCAATCTGGAGAGCTCTGGAATTGAGGAGCAAGGGGACWCTCTGCATTGGGGAGCAGAGACCATGGAAGCAAAGCTGGCCAGGGCCTCAGCTGAGGAGCAGGGTCCTGTCAGGTGTGCAGCCTTCCTCCGGGGCTGCAAAGTGTAGCCTACAGCTGTCRACACCCCTGCAGGGTGATCTGCTTCCAGGGAAATGTCCTCACTTCTGTGGTTGGGCATGTGGCAATGCCGCTCCGGAGCTCTCCYGGCTGTGCTTGCTCAAGTCCTCCTGTTTGCTTCCTCTTGCCGGTCCTCCAGGCTGACCCCCAGCACGGCCCTGTCATYATCCTCAGTGCAACATCAAAGCAGCTAGCAGAGCTGCTGAGAGCACCAAAACCCCGGGCGTTCGGATGGCTCCTGGTGGCTTCTGCAGAGGGGTAGGGGTGCTCCTTGCATCTGAAGTCAGTGCAGGGGCTYCTTGGCCTTCCCTGGCTGCGGAAAAGGCCCTGGAGCCGTGAGGGAAAACGCAGGATGTCCCAGTGGAGGCTGTGGGGCGGCTGCAGCCTTTGGGCTGGGGTAGATGTGGGCACCGTCCTGCCCCCGAGCTGGGGGGCTTCAGTCAGTGCTATGAGAGCTTCACGTTGCTTGAAGCTCTTTAACGCCTTAGTAAAGGGCTTTAGCAGAGCACTGAAGCTTTGACATTTCTTCTCTCTGGGCAGGCAGCACATACAGCATGCTCTGCCACCTCTGCCCTAGGGTACAGCCTGGCCTCGCCTAAATTAATAATTTCGTGCTGCTCCCTGTGTGTGGCAGCTCTGCACCTGTGGTGGCCCGGCTGGAGCTGGGGCTGTTTGCRAAGCTCAGGTGATGGGAACAGCTTGTGCTGGTCAGAAAAGCCCTCGCGCAGCACCCAGCACTGCTGGGGCAGGCGGTTTCTCAATCTGAGGACGGCCAAATTTCCTGTGGGGCTGGTGGAAAATGCTGAATTCAGGGATGAGTCTCATCTTCCCTTTTTGGTCAGCATCCTTGTGACAGGCGGCTTTGGGGTGAGCTTAGAAAGCAAGTGCCCGCAGGACCAGCCCGGTGGGGAAACCTCACCACGTCTAGCTCCGTGAGGGCCCTTTCCTGCCTCTGCTAAGACGGGTTTCAGCAGCAGCAGACCAAGCCCATGCGATGCACGGCTTCCCTTCCTGCCCCCAAGAAGAGTACCACGAGTCAGAGAGGGCCAGGACGTTGCTTCACGCTCCGAAGGGCCTTGGCTTGTCCAGCGGTGACAGGCGAGGCGCAGGGTTCGGCCGTGGGGCAGTTAGATGTGCCCTGAAATGCGARGGCTGCTCTGGGGAAAACTGAGACCAAAAGCAGATGCCCTAACATGGAAGTGCTCGTGRTCCTTGGAGAGAGATGGGATGTTTTCCCCTTCTTGAGACAGATGTCAAATGCCTCTCGCTTCCCAGCAAGAAAGTGGAATTTTGAGATGTGTGACTCCAGGAGATGTGTGGCTCCAAGATGACCAGCTCCAAGCTGGGAATGGCTGGAGGAAAACAGGGACCTGAGGATGGCTCAAAGAGCTGCTTGTCTGCACAGGGTGGCAACAGAAGTGAAATGAATGTGTGGTGGGTCAGCGGGGCCAGCCTGTGTCCCCTCTTCCTCCTCTTCACCCTGTTTTCCAGATGTTTCCTCCTCTGCCCACATTCCCCATTCTCACACCTGCTCAGAGTTGTCTTGGCTTCTTGCAGTGGGTCTTGCTGCCTGCCAGCTGTGCAAAGCTGTGCCATGACAAGGAGGTCATCTCTTCTGCCCTCAGTGGGTCTATGACAGTTAATTCCCACTCTTGTGTCTCCCACATAGCCCAGTGTGTTAAATGTTGAGTCTTGCAGAGCAGCTAAGGGGCAGTTTCTGGCATTGCAGGGCTATAACCCCCGCAGGCTGCAGATATGGGGAGCTCCTTTGGTTAATTAGCTGTTATATTTGCAGTGCTGGGGATATATATGTTTAAATCCAGTTGGGTAACTGTTTAAAATAGTTTGTCTTTTTTTCTCCTGTCTCTACAGCTTGTGAGACTCTGCTCCAGAGCAGCTGCTATGTCCCCCGTGTAGCCGCAGCTCGTGTACCATGTACCAGCCTGGGTTTGTGCCACGGGAGTGTTACCCAGCTGTGATCCCACCTTCCACCTGCCTGCCGCTGCGAGCCGGGAGAGTGGACACCATGGCCAGCCCCGTGGTGTTCCCCCCCATCCACATGCACAACCTCTACAGCCGCCCCATCACCTTTGTGGTGGACAGGAACAGCTACCCGGACTATGTGGGCAATCAGGTGGAGTATCATCACGTCTACAGTGCCTCCAATCCCTACTTGCATCCGTACTACACCTGGCACTTCCCTCCTGTGGTCCCCATTCCTCTGTACAATCCCTACGCACCCTATAATCCCTACACCTCCTACCAGAGGCCGGATCAGTATCGGGACACTTGGCCAGAAGGCTTCACAATGAGAGGGGAGCTTCAATGGGGGAAGCTTGGCAAGGTGTTTGGACCGAGGAAAGAACTCCCAGGGTTTGTGAAGGATGATCTCCGGAGGGTTTATGGCACCTACCCACGGACCAGCGTCTCCATAACTTACAGGAACGGGGAGTTCTTGGTCAAAGGAGACCCCAAGGTAGGAGAGCAGGAATACACAGTGGAAAAGAAAGTCATCCAGCGGGCTCTGACCCCCAGTGCCAGCGAGGCAGATGACAGCAGTGAGGACCGGAATCGGAAGAAGAAAAAGAAATTGAGACGTTGATGTCACCTCCTGGGCGGATGCTCCACGGCCCTCGTGGGAGCCGGTCGGCAGCTGCTCTTGGTGCAGCTGGGAAGTAGCACAAGCCGAGGGTGCCACCACAGCTGGTGGCTTTTTAACTGCTCCCCGTCCTCCACAAGCTTATGGCAGCTTTACCGGGTGTAATGTGGGGTGCACAATGTCCATCCTGTGAAGGAAGTGTGTGGCTGTTGGCTCTGTCRGGGATCAGCCCTTGGGTTCTGGCTTGAGAGGAATGTTTGTTTTCCATGGTGTCTATGGAGTGATCACAGTCTGGTGGCAGGGGTTTCCAGGCAGGTGCCCTGGATAGAAGATGGGCCTCTTCACTGCCCAAGGGAAGGTCCTGGCAGCTGGATTCCTTCCTGGCAGTGCCATCAGGAGACCCAAACTGAATTTCCTCCGAGTTGGAAGCAGTGCAGGTCCTGAGGGGAAAGTTCTTAAACACTGTAAAGAAGGTAGATAGTCACCCTATCACTGCTGTTTTATGACTGTACTGTTGTACTTAATCACCACGTGAGGCCTGTACACAACATTTCCCTACACGCTGACAGAAGATCTTGGTGTCCCTGTCCCTTCACACTYAGTAATCTGGTGCTTGGTGCTCCTGGCACTGTGTCCTTATTCAATCCAGTGCTCAAGGCCCTACTTTAGGCCTGACCTGGCTCTGGCTGGAGGTGCTGGTTCCCCTGCCAAGTTASTGGAGCTGTCAGAACCACAGCGCTTCCACAGGTTGGTCTCTTGCAAGGGTGGAAAGCTGGAGGGGTTTGAGGGACTTGCTTGCAAATTTCTCTRTCTTTTAAATCCTTATTAATAAACAATAAAAACAAATGCAAATAGCCATCGTTGTAGTTTTTTAGCTGCCTGACTACAGTCTTTTTGTGGATAACTCAAAGGAGCGAATGCAGGTTGCCCAGCTGGGAATGTAACGTGTGGCTCGCTCCCTTCCTCTAGGCAGGTGCCTCTTTCTTTGCTGTGGTTTGTAACCGAGCACAGCCCTTACCAGGGAGCCACCAGGGAATTCATCCCAACGCTCATCCCCTCTGTATTTGCTTTACTCRGTGTGCAGCTTAAATCTTATCCCTTGAGTTGCAGGAGTTCGGAGGCTCTCGTGAAGGGCAGGAAAAGGCTTCAAACACTGCGGGCTGGTTCGGAGCAGCCCCTGTCCCTTGGAGCCTGCTGCCTTTGTGCAGTTTAAAGCTCTGGGCCTGCAGACAACTGTTAGGCTGGTGCACTGGGAGTGTTTGGAAGGGAGAAACACATTTTGGGCAACAAAACCCATATGTGGTCCCTGAGAGCAGCCAAGCAACCAGAGCAACTCCTTGTAATAACGAAGGCTTTTCCTTTYTTTCCTCCCTCTAAGGAGTGCTGTAGAGGAGGAAGTTTCTAACTTACTAAGAACAACTTCTGTGGAAAAACCCCTGCAGCAGGATTCAGCTTCCCTGAGCTGCCCTTAGCAGACCCTGCGGGGCTGCCCGGAGCTTTTTCTTTGCTCCTTCCCCTTCCCCGTGTCCCGTGCTGGCTGGAGCAGAGGTCTCGCTGCTGCCTTGCGCTGTGCAGTGCTGTGGACTTCCCAGAAGATTCCAGCCTGTGTCCCGGGAGAGGCCGGGAAGGGGCTGCTAAGGAGCATCTCTGCGGCACTGGCTGGTGGCAGGTGGAGCTGAGGGACAGTGCGGCCTCTGGGTCCAGCCTGCTGCCTTCCTGCTCGTGTGGCAGCTTTAAACCTGGCTTCTTGCTAGCTCCAGAGCTTCTGGGGCTGCTCTTGAGCTGCACATTTCTTTTGGCACCACAACTTCCAGCACAGAGCTGCACATTCSCTTTCCTTCGAGGTCTTTTGCAGGTGGTTTCCCCAGCGAGTCCCGCTYGCTGTTCCGGGCATTACCTCGGATTCGTTCCCTCGCGCAGGGCTGCTCTGCACCRCCCTGTCTTGCCTCAGCCCGGCTGCTGCCCGGCAGCTTCCTCTTTATGGACCGTTGAGGACCTTCTGAGTAATGTACAGGGCAAATAGGCCTGTCCCCTCGCTGCCTGGGGGACAGCAGCATTTTCACACAGGAGGCAACGGGGCTCTTGGTTTGCTGGAGAGTCTGGTCTGTGAGGGGCGACTTGGGCACCCTTGAGCCCCCTTAATTTCTATGAAGGCCAAATAAGTGGATTTAGTTTTTTAAATGCATGCAGCCATTATATTGTGGTTGTCGCTTAAGCAGCCGCCAGTACGCCTCTGATCTGGCTTTCCCATTCCCCAGAAAGGCCGCTTGGAAAGGGCTAAATGCTGCACCCAGGTAAAGCAGTGCCAGGCCCGAAGCGGCCGCACTGCGGCAGGAACCCGAGGCCGAGCTGGTTTCGTGGCCGTGTTACCAGCWGCAGCAAATGGCACCGACCAGCCCTGCCCTCCCTTGCCAGGACAGGAAAAACCCCAGCAATTCCTGTCGGGATTTCTCCCCGTCGCCTGGCTGCGTGCAGGAGCGCCGCAGAACTGCCCAAACCCCTGCCCCGGGCACTTGCTGCTCCCTGGCTTTCCGCACCCACGGCCTTCCCCTCGGGATGTCTCCAGGGATGGCAGCGGGCACGGCCCCTAGCTTTGCTGGGCCTCTTCTGTTTATCTTCTCCCAAGTTTTGTTTGGTTTCGCTGCCCCGACTCTGCACGGCAGGTTGCTGGGCACACCCAGGCCCTTGTTCTGGCCCTGCGTATTTTTAGCACCCGTTTACAACCACGGACAATAAATCAGCGGACAAAAAGATGTTTATTTTCTGCAGTGCCACTCCATTTCCCGAGAGAAGCAGCATTTGCAGTTGGGTTCCCCCTCCCAAGCACTCGCAGCAGCCACAGGTGCTTGGAGGAAAGCCTGAAACAAGCAGCCTTTGGGCCCCAGGTTTCCTGGGGTGGCCGTAACTCACCTCCATGCCGGCCTTCCCCGTGCTGGATCCAGGAGCTGCCCTCTCCCGCAGGACTTGCTCCCAGCTGCTCTCTCCTCTTGAAGCCTCGAAGCTGAGTTGCTGCCGAGCTGCAGAACTGAATCCATAGGGCATTTCTGGATGCTTTAACGCCTATGGAATTCAGTTCTCAAAGCCAAGCAGCCAGCATGAGTTGGCTTCCCRTGGCCCTGGCCGGCTGGGTCTCCATCTGCAAGGGAGAAAAAATAGCAGGAGCTAATGACGTGGATGACACAAGGCAGGCCGAGCGGACACGGATTTTGCGACTGGGAGCTGCTGCAAGGAGAGGACTCTGGCACCTCGCGCTCTGCCCAGACGCAGCCGTGTCTTTATTTKGAAACTCTGCTCAAGCTGGCTGCTGTTTTGTTTCTTTTTTTTTTCCCACCCGTTGTCCCATCGTTTGGAGCCACTGGAAAGCCTCAGTGTGGCCCGAGTGGCACAGAGCTGCTGGGGCTGCCTCTGGTGCCGGGTGCCCTGTGCAGGGTCTGCCCTGCACCAGGTATGGGAGAGGACCTCCCATGGGACCTCCTCGCTGCCCCCAGCCCCAGCTTTGGGCCGGGCACCTCATGGTGCCTCCAGGTAGGACCAATGTAGACCGAACCTTGTTGCGTTTGTTGGCAGCCAAACCAAGAGACTCGGCTGGTGACCAAAACGCACGGGAAGGCCGAGTGCTGGGGAGCAAATCCCCTGGTCCCAGTGCCCGGCATGTCCCGGGGAGCCCTCATCCCGTGACAGGTTGTTGGGCACATCCACGCGGCAGCGCTGGGGCGGGAGAGGTGCCCAGGGACCTGGCTGGTTCACAGACCACTCAGGCAGAGGGTTTCTGTAGCCGCGAGCCCGCTCCGAGCTCAGGAAGGTGGGTGAGCGCCCCTCCTCCTCCTCTTCCTTCTCTTCCTCCTCCTCCTCCTCTTCTTCCTCTTCCTCCTCCTCCTCTTCCTCGCTCTCCTGCTCTTCCTCCCTGTTCTGCACGAGGCCACTGACGATGCTGGCCCCTTAGGAAGCGGGGCAGGAGGGGACCTTTCCAGAGGTGCCGTATCCCAGCTGGCTGCGTGAGGTCCCGCTCCGGCTGTGGGAGCCACCGTGCCGGCCCTGCCATCACCGACAGGGAGCCGGAGCTCCCGGGTGCAGCGACTGGGGCCACGTGGGGTGGCTCAGGTGTCCCCCAGTCCTCGTAGGGCCACAGCAGCCCCTCTTCATCCCTTCGTGGCGATGCTCTGCCCTGGCAATGCTCTCCCGGTCCTCAACTGCTCGTGGGAGAGAAGGGAGGGTGTCACGCAGCGCCCCGCTCCCAGCCTGTCCTCCTCTCCCAGGTCCTCTTGTCCCAGGCCCTCTTCCCAACCTTGCAGGCCTGCCCTGGAGCACGGGAGGGACGCAGGGCGGGCAGCAGCACAAACCTCCAGCCTGACGAACAGCGCTGGGCACCTGCTCCAGTCGTGCCCCGCGTGGGCTCCGACCCGCACGGAGCCAAGCGGGATGGACGGGAGCAGCCAGGTCCCTGCGCTGGGACACGCGCTGCCCTCGGCAGCCTCCTCGCRCCGCGGCCAGGGAAGCAAACGGGCTGCCAGGCTGCCCAGGGGCGCAGTGACCCAGCAGCGTCTCGTGACGGGATTGCTGAAGCACGACTGGCAACGACATCCCGTTTAACCAGCTGAGCTCCCGCGTGTGGCATCCGTCATCCCGGGAGCAGCCCCTCTGCACCCCGGCGCGCCAGGAGGAGAGGAGGCTGGGGACAAGGATCCGTCCCGGCCAGGCTGGGGACAAGGATCCGTCCCGGCCAGAGGGGCGATTGCGGCAGGGCTGGGCAGCCGCGGCGGCCCTGGGTGCTGCTGTGGGTGAATAGAGGCCCAGCCGGGAGCACCCACGTGCTGCTGCTCGGCACCTGGAAAGGCATTGCTTTATCTGGCTAAAAACTGAGACAAAATCAAGTGAGCGCCCTCGTTGTGGTGCCACTGGCCCATTAGCAGAGGWGATGCTGGTGCAGGACGAGCCTGGGGGCCGAGCAGCAGGGCGGGCACAGCGACCACAGATCCCTCACCCGGCGCCGGGGCGTTCATCCAAACTGCTCCACTTTGCCTTTCCCCCCAAGGAAGCCTGCCCAAGTAGCTCATGCGGCCCCTCCTGCCCCATTAAAATATAAGGGCTTGCTGGAAGGGGTCCCGAGAGGGACCCTGTAAAGGGGCTTGTGCCCTGCGGGGTCTGTCACCTCCTCCTCCCCATCCTGCGCTGCGGGATCCCCTCCTGCCGCCGCGGGATCCTTGCTGCCGATGCTGGATCCCTGCTGCCGATGCTGGATCCCTGCTGCCGGATGGGGCTCCGGCTGCCCCCTCGCACGGCAGCCCCGGCACGGAGCCCGCGGCCGAGCCCGGCACTTACCCACCCAGCTCCAGACGCCGCGGACGCCGCGACCGCCGGCCCGGCGCTGTTAAATATCGCGGCCGCCTCGCTCGCTCGCTGCTCTTCCTGGACGGCGACGCGCGGTTTCCACCCACTTCTTTCACCTTTGGTTTCCAGGCTTTCTGAGAAAAGAGGAAGCCGTGGGAGGGAGCGACCGGCATCCCCGGCCAGGGCACCGTCACTACCAGCGCGCGGGGGAGCAGCCGGGGGAGCCGGCCGCGGGGGGGCCGCTTTCCCGGGAAGCCGGGGCTCCCTGGGGGCTTTCCCGGCCCAGCGGCTGCCGAGGGCTCTGGGCAGTGCCCAGGGGCAGGATTGGGGCGGCCGCTGCTGGGATTGCCCTGGGAACGGGCGCCGCTCCGGTTGTTGCCTCCTGCAGCTGCCCAGGTGCTCG